TGTATGTCATATTCGACTACTTCCACAGTACTAACTTCACCTTTTCTACCTTCCTCTTTGAAACACTCTTCTGTTCCTCCCAGCCCCCCCCCCTCTCGATTTTTTTTCACTTTGATGTTCTTTATCCTCTCGGTGAAGCCTGTAGTCAACTAAAGGGCTAATGATAACCATCAAAACGCCTGCACTCAGCTAAATGGCTAATGATATCTATCAAAACGCCTGCCACCAACTAAAGGGCTAATGATAGCTATCAAAACGCCTGCCATACCGAAGTCAGTTAAAGGGCTAATGATAGCTATCAAAACGCCTGCCATTTGTTAAGGGCTAATGATAACCATCAAGACGCCTGCCATTTGATACAGGGCTAATGATAACTATCTTCAAAACTCCTGCCATTTGATATAAATAAATAAATAATTGGGAACAGCCTGCCATTTGATATGGGGCTAATGATAACTATCAAAACGCCTGCCATTTGATATCCTAATGATAACCATCAAAACGCCTGCCATTTGATATAAACATTAGAGAGTGAATATGTTGCATTAGACTTTACAGGAAAAATATCACTCAAGGTGAACAATTGTGAAGAAAAGGTAAGTTCGAATTTATCCTTGCTATTAATAAAGAGTGCTATTTTTTAATTGAGAATAAAGAATTCAGATGATTTCAAAGTTCAAACTTCGAGAGGAGTCACCTAGGCACCTGAGTAGATTAACCCCCCCTCCCCCCCCNCCCCCCCCGCCCCTCCGATGCTTGAGGTCAATGGCCATTTGGATAATTTTCAAAGAATCTAGTTTGACTAAAATCTCAGTCACTCTTGCTCCATTCCCCTCAAATTAAACTAATTAAGGGGTTTGGTGAATTAGTCACTCAGAATGAAGAAAGTTTGGCGAATAAATAAATTGTACAAATGCAAATAGACAGCGATTAGCAAACACAATAGGAGCTCACGTTAAATGAAATTAACTTAAGGAGTAAATAATTAATTTAATATGAAATATGCCAACCTTCTACGTGAATCAATAGATCAACAAGCTCTCTTTAAATTAAGAATTCACTCAGAAATTGTGAAAATTTATTATGATAGTTGAGCCTTAGAACAGTAGGGCATTAAAAATCATTTTTTTCCCTTATGAAAAAGCGATAGTGTAAAACTTTTGGCAACTTAATTTCATTAATATGCTCTCACACAACACTTTGTTTAATTTCAAGCTTGAATAATATTCTACAGTGTGGTCAAGATAAAAAAGGTATGCGTGGAGAGAGGTGCTGAGTAATGTATCAAAGTTTGTGGTGAAAGTTTTTAACACCCTTGAAAGTCTAGTATTTGCATTCATAATATCCTCTATTAACAACTTTTAAATGAAGCTGTAATGCTTGTTTACTCATGCGTATTCAAATGGGATCTCCATTACCCCCCTCCTCCTCTCCCTCCCCACCACTCCACCCCCTGCTCGGAGCTTTGCCTATTTAGGTGTCATTCAACGATAAAACCTTAACGCCCGAATTATTTTTCTTGAAAAATGCACCCAACCGCACACACACGTATCTCACAGCAGACTGATGTCGACTTGATGAATTTTGATGGTGTATCAGGCAAAGGCTGTAAATTTATTGAACATGTTTCAAACGTCTGTTTTCGTAACGTCTGTTACGAGTCTAATATCAATGCGCTTCCTTTGAAAGAGGACCGCACTGTCCTAAGGGTGATAGAAGGTTAAGCCTTGCAGTTTTAGATTGACAAGAGTAATAATTTTAATGAAGAAACGGCCAAGTTAATTACTCAAACTGCTCAATTACTCAGCGCATTCCCAATTTTCAAAGAAATACTCCAATGTCAGATCGATGAAATGAGAATTAGCATTAAATAGCGAATATCAATAACATAAATTCCATAGTACCGCAAAATACTTAAACTAAATCATGTAGCTAAAATAAAATATTATTTAATTAGTTCTTAAAAATCGATGTCTATTAAGTCACGAGAGTTGAAGTGCCTACGTATTTCCCTTAAAACAATATGTAATTTTAAAAAAAACAATGCCAAAACTTGCTTGTCAGGCAGTAAAAAAGTAATACATATCTAATCAATCGATAATCGATTCACTTATTCTGTAAATGGCCGAGCGAAGTTATTGATCGCAAGAGATGTGCGTATAGTGCTTGAGGTGCCAGCAATCAGGAGCAGCATTTGAATGGTGTAGCATTTATGAATGTTTTCTCATTCAAAGTTCATATATATAACGCCCTTCTTTTTAGTCAAGGCGCGACTTCATCCAACTCTTCATGAGCAATTACCCGCATCGGAAATCATAAATCAAGTGCGTGTGTTTTAATCGAATTCCCTAAACTAAGGACCACCACATCATGAAATGAGGTCTCAGGTGGCAAAATACCCATAACTTCCAATTCTGAGGTGTCATAGTTAACCCATTAACGCCTTTGAGACCGTACGAAACTCCGTTGATACTAGACTCGTATCTGAAGGCGCTATTGCCACGTAAAACACGTTCACTACGTCTGAAGCCTTCGCCTGATACACCACCAAAACTCATCACGTTCGCTCCATCAATCTGCTGTGTGACATGCATGGATGTGGTTGGGTTCATTTTCAAAAAAATAACTTGGGCGCTAAAGGGCTAAATATACCTAGACAAGCTAAGAGCAATCAGATAAATCGTAATAAATAATGAACGTTCAGTTCAGCCAGAAAACTATGAGTCATATCTTAACGTTTGAAATTTAGGATAGCAACTATGCAAGCCACAGTCTGAGGTGAAAAGACAATGATTGAAGGAGGGTATATTTTTACCGAGAAGAGATGGGTTAATTATAATTTTCATAAATCGAAAAAAATCATGCTCGTTTCGAATAACAACCCCATTACTTTGGAACGTCACCTAACTATTCTTCCAACTTTCATATATATCCGTTGCTCGGCTATGGAAACACAATTAAATGGCAGTCGTCAATATCATTGAGGTTCTTGAGTTATTCGAACAGTGAACATAAATCGATATGGGGGTATACCCAGAGGTTAATTCCAATTTGCTTGAACAACGATAGGATGTGCGGTTCATATAAATGTAATGTTGGGATACCATCAGCATAAAAGGCGAGTTTTTCAACTCTACCCTCCCCCTGCTTGATAATTATTAAACTAACATTGTTTTGTGAAAAAAAACAGATCATCATAACTCAATATTTGAAATCAAAGTCTAATTGACTTTAATGCAACACATATTAAAATTTAATTCGGCTTGAGAAATCAATAAATTGTATTCTTACCTTTAAGCAGTAGTCAAAATATCAAGAAATAAACATTTGTAAATTGACATAATTCATTTCGGGCTAAATGCCCTAAATGGAAACAAAACCACATTCGAAGTTGGCAACACGATGTAAATTATGGAATTATGCTCATTGCACAATATAGTAATGAGATTGCATAAATATGTAAAAAGTGATTTTAGAGTATTTTTTCCTACCGATGTGGTAACAAATTTGAGTTCAATTGCTTTTTTAAATCCCAACGATTCTCTGCAAATCTCCCTCCACCCCCAGACCCCGAATAAAATTAACTTAAAAAACGCTAAAATAGCATTATTCCCAAATTGACAGCGATTATGAGCGAGAAATGGCACATTCAAAAAAAAAGATTAAACTTCAAATTTCTTTCATCCTACTTTTCATTTAAATAGATAGCTGTGTTAACAAACAGCTCCTTATTATGGGGGCGTAATGTCATAAACCTCATTAATTTTTCACTTGCACGTATTCTTTTACTTTCAAACTAGGTCATAAAAAATGAACTAAAAAATTCACCTTCATTTGACAAAAAAGATTCCTCACCCCACCCACCCTTCTTTTTTCCTTCCACCATCGCCACTTTAAGTTAATCAAAGAGATGAAAAAAAGAAAATCGATTTTTGAAAAACCCTAGGTCCTTTTTAAGCAATATTTCAACTTGTACTTTTATTGCTTTAAAGCCATCTTAATTGAACCATACTCATTTTAAGACAATCAGCCCAGTTAATTGAATAGACAAAATTTTATTTACCATTTATTGCTCTTAGGCTTACTGCATTATTTTAACTCTCCTTTTACTATCTTCGCGGTGAATTTCCGCGTCACCTGTAAAAAGATAACGTTGGAGACGCCTCAAAACACTTTTTTGCGAAATTTCATTAAGAGATGGAGACGAAGAGACGTCACGCTTGAAAAGGCGGCGGTAACAAAGTCAGATTACTGATATTTACTCTGCACAATCACATTATAGCATACATTTTAAGACGCAAGTGCATTGATATGGAATGGGGAAGCGGTTAACTTCATCAATAATCCAATAACATCTAGACATTGTCGAAGTGGAACATTAGGACATAAGTCGGTGAATTATCAGTACCATGGTCAAAATGGAAAAATAAGATAATCTTGGCAGTCAAACGGTTCTTATATTAATGCATGAGGGGGGGGGGGGGGGGGAGGGTGTGAGATAGACTTACCTCCACGTGGTGCACCCTGGGCAACGTATACTCAAACGGCGCAAAGGTCTATTAACTGGCAGTTGACTTCTCACTTCAAACTATCATCACACCAATGTATGTCATATTCGACTACTTCCACAGTACTAACCTCACCTTTTTCTACCTTTGTGTCTGTCTCTTTTACATCTTTGAAACACTCGAATTTTTTTCACTTTGATGTTCCTCCCCCTCTGTGAAGTCTGAAGCCAACTAAATGGCTAATGATAACCATCAAAACGACTTTCATTTGATGTAAATTAATATTAATGCATAAATTTTCTTTATGAACGTATTAGAAGACGTATAAGAAGTTTCTAGCTTGAGTAACAGGAATAAGATAAAGCATAATTGAGAGAAAAATGTAGTCATATTTCCAATCAATCAACAAAATTTGCCAATTGCCACTTTGAAATACTTAAGTAAGTGGAGTGCCCACTTGTGTAACAGGCAGTCACTTGGTGCAAATTTTGGTTATGACAGTGAAGATGTAAAGATGACAGAGTTAAAAATCTTACCAGGAGTGAGATCAATCGACCTTCCAAAATGCCCATTGAAACCGAAATTACCCAATTTAACACAGAGATCGTGGGAAAGGAAAACGTTTTCGGCCTTTAGTTCACCGTGGAAATATTCGGCGGATTCTATGTAATCCATACCGTCTAAAACCTGAAATGAAAAGACAAATTTAGAAACCATAAAGTAAATATTATACTTTCTTTGTTCAACACTGTTGTCATTATTGTCCAGTTTGCCCAAAAATTGTCTGGTATAGTCAGGAAGCCACTTCGATATCCATTAAACAGTTTTACTCTATTCGACTGTACTGTGTGCGGTAGACTTACCTCCATGTGGTGAATCCTGGACAACGTATACTCATACGGCAAAAAGTCAATAAACTGGTAGTTGACTTCACACTTCAATCTACCATGACAGCACTGTATGTCATGTCCGACCACTTTCACGGTACTCATCTTACCTCTTCTCTGCCTGTCTCCTTTACATCTGTGAATCACTCTTCTGTCCCCCCTCTCCACTTTTTGTGTCTTTGATTTTTCTACCTCCACCCCCCTCTTCTCTGTGAATCCCGAAGTCAGCTAAAGGGCTAATGATAACTAACGAAACACCTGCCATTTGATATGAATAAATAAATAAATCTATTCGACTGTAGCCAAATGTTCAAAATCGATCGTGAAGATGCGCCAATGAGCATTTTCTATAGCATTTATGCATTTTTCTGAAATCCCTTGTCTTCCATTTTTATATTAGCTGACCAAAGCGAATCAGATGACTGAAGTATCATACAATGATCTAGATGCTGCCCAAGGTGCAGACCTATGTCCAACTACTGTCTGGCAATCCTCAACTACGCGGGATTCCATCTCATGCCCACTTTTCCACTCCTTTTTCTACCTTTGTACTATACATAAGCGTGCGACACCGTCCACTGAAAGTACAATAACTTAGCGTGGTAAAAGACAACGTGGCAAACTAATGCAAACAGTTGTAACCTCCAGTAAACAACTTGACTTTCATTGAAACATATAAGGCTTGGGACTATTCAAATAGCCTCCTTGCTAATTTATCAATCTAGAGTACTAACTTTTTGAAGTTACGAAATAACCATTTCGAAGGATTTTGTACCTAAGAATGATCTAATATGCATCGTGAAATGTGGCTATGAGATCATCATTATTAAGGGTTACGTCACTGAGGCCAATAAACAGACATCTTGAGTTAGTCTAAATAAAAGGTTGCAATAAGAAAATACTTGAAACTTTACTTAAATAACGTGTGGGGCATAACATGCAATCATGGTGAAAGGCGTGGCCGATGACTGGTTCCAGATGTTATCTTCTACATATCTGAAATGCCTAAAGTACCACTTTAATCGAAAATCTGGAGGAAGGGGGGGGGAGAATCGACAACAAAAGAAAGGAATAACAGCACAGTCCAATAGCTAAATAGAAAACTGGAAATAGGTATTGGAAATGGATATTGGGGTGGGGACGGGGGGGGGGGTTTCCGCAATAGAAGTTTCGATGATTTTGATTGCATACTATTGGGTTGGCAACTAAGTCATTGCCGTTTTCGTTGACAGATTCACTCTATACTTTCTTTTGTTTTGTTAACGTGGCCAGAGCATCTAACCTATATTTTTTTCTTACTGTATGGGCTTCTAGGTTAATAAGTAAAAATTTTTTTGTTTAGTTCTTTAGTTTTGTTTTTATCCAAATTTAAAAATGAAAGAACAGGACGTGCACTTCCGAGACATTTTATTGTATTACTTCCGAAAAGGCAAGAACCCATCGCAAGCACAAAAGAAGTTATGTGCCGTATATGGAGATGAAGCCTTAAAAGAAAGGCAGTGTCGAAATTGGTTTGAAAGATTTCGTTCCGGTGATTTTTCACTGAAAAATTCACAACGATCTGGCCGCCCAGTCGAAGTGGATGAAACACATATCAAGGCCATTATCGATTCAAATCGTCACAGCTCAACACGAGGTATTGCAGAGAAGCTCAATGTGTCACATACATGCATTGAAAAAAAATTAAAAACCCTTGATTATGTCAAGAAACTTGATTTATGGATCCCTCACCAGTTAAAGGAAATTCATTTGATGCAACGGATTAGCATCTGTGATTCGCCGCTACTGAAACGCAATGAGAATGATCCATTTCCGAGGAAGAACCTAGTTACTGGCGACGAAAAGTGGATAGTTTATAACAATGTAACTCGCAAGAGATCATGGGTGAAGCAAGATCAACCAGCCCAAACAGTATCAAAAGCAGCAGAGATTCACCAAAAAAAAGATTATGCTGTCAGTCTGGTGGGATCACAAAGGAATTTTGTATTTTGAACTCATGCCGCAGAACCAAACGACAAATTCAAATGTGTATGTTGAACAACTGGAAAAACTGAAGGATGCAATTGAAGATAACCGGCCGGCATTATCAAATCGGAAGGGTGTTGTGTTCCATCATGATAACGCAAGGCCCCACACATCTTTGGTTACTCGGCAAAAATTATTGGAACTGGGTTGGGATGTTTTGTCACACCCACCCCATATATAGCCCTGACCTTGCGCCTTCGGATTACCATTTGTTTCGTTCCATGCAAAACTCTTTAAATGGTAAAATTTTTAACAACGCGGATCATGTCGGATCACACCTAATTCAGTTTTTTAATAGCAAAGACTAGACATTTTACGAACGGGGAATTTTTACTCTGCCAGAACGATGGAAAAAGGTCATCGACAAGAACGGCCAATATCTAATTGAATAAAGTTATATTTTAAACAAAATTCCGAATTTGCCTTCTAATTTGAAATCGACAATGACTTAGTTGCCAACCTAATACTTTAATTACTTGAGAACGAGGTCAGCATGTGCAATGAGACAAATAAAATTGTTCCTTTCGCCCTCCCTTTTTTATTCCAGTGAAAGCTCTAACAACACTTAAGTTAGTTCTAACTATGGTGTCCTGAAGCGCTCTTCGTTCTCTTTGAGGAAAAGAAGTTATCCGTGTGGTCGGACATCGGCATCTCCGAATATACCCAGAAAAAAAAACACATCCACCACGTGATATCTGAATTGACAGAAATTTACTTCTACTTACAATCGGCGAATAAATGATAAATAAGAGGATAACTGGCAGGAGAAAGCAAGACAACCACTATTGCCAAGTGCAAGGTCTTTTTATCGATTTTTTATTTTCATAATGAGTAACAGTGGAAGATTTGTCATATTTTGCAGCCATTACCCTTATTTGAGACTCGCTCCTTTTGCACAACCGCAAAGGGAAACCATTTGAAGGATATTGCTCAAACACTTCTCTTGATTGGTAAACAGGCATTTAGAAATCCACCCTAGATGGGAGGTTTTTCATCTTAAACTCCTTTAGAGAGGAACAAAATCCAACACTTCTCTCTGGGTATTCAATTTCATTTTTGTATTCACATATACATTAGTATTAACTAATCCAGATGGTTATTTCGAACCCCGCGTTGATAATTAATAATTTTAAGCCAAGAATTCCCAATAAGGCAGATAGGGGATGCTGGTTATCTATTCTAAAAAATATAATAAAGTATTGACTAGTCGCTTACTTGATGAAGCCAATGTTGCAGTTTGGAATATTCTATATCCGAGTGATTATTTACGAGGTAATCTTTGAGATTTCCACCAGGCATATACTCCCAGACTAGGAGGTAAGCTTCCGCAGGCGAGGTCACTGAAAGACCAAGGAATTGGACGAGAGCATGATTTTGGAGTTTATGGCAATCTCGAGCACATTTGATAATGAGATCGGTGTTTTGGATGGCAGATAACTTTTTAATCACAACCGCCTTCTGTGTGGACACTCGAAAAATGCCCCGATAGACAGATCCGAATCTACCACCTTTTGAGAGATGAGCTTTGAGATCAAGTTGGCTCGCTGGAATCCAGAAATGTCGAGATTGAATTGTTGGTGGGTACCGAGGTAGGGGGTCAGAGAGTTCACTTTCTACAAATTGAGATTATGCAATTTGAATCTAACACGTTTTAGCTCTTTAAATGATCTTGTTGCTATTGCTGTGCCTTAGGGCACCCATTTTATATCAGTAAGCTGCAGTTAACTTGAAGTTGGAAAGAGAGAACAAAGTTTGAGGAGTCCATCCATGCCTAGGCGATTTCTTAAGGCTTTAATTGGAATAAAATGTATGTTCTGATAGCTAAAATTTGAAGGTTTGACAATATTTTGCATGGAGCAGCGGCTTGAAGTCAATCTGTTGGATCTAAATTACTCATCTAGAATCGAAGTCTGAACTCTACGACTCTGAGGTGCGTTTGTTGGCCGTTGAAACTTCTTAACCTTCTTATGAGTAAATGGCGCATTGGCAACCATAACATGCCCACACATTACAAAAGTGAACACAGTTACCTGACATATGTAATCAAAGGTTTTTTCATGCCAGATGTTACTTGTTATTGGCTTAATAGTTTTAGCATTACATATCTGTGACTATACTCTTGGACACCTTAGATAGTGGTTAACTAGAGGAAGTGATTTTCTTCAGTTCTCTGCATATATTTAGACTTTTTATTGTAAAAAATGGTACCGTCTTAGACACGAAAGCTGTACGACTCACGATTTCCTATCCTTCAGTTATTGAAATTCAGTTTGTTCTGTCTGTGGCTCAACTTCCTACAACAAAATGTCCACTGTTTACTCTCTCAAATACATTCTGTGTGTCATTCTATTACACCTTAGAGTATTTTCAGTATTCCCGTTGGAAGCTTAATGCCTTTTTTCTCCATACCTAGCAAGGCCAAATAAGAATCTTCATCCTTCATTTTTTGTGCATTACTAATTTCGCGGTAAAGGGGTGTGCGACAGACTTACCTCCACGTGATGCTCCCTGGGCAACATATACTCATACGGCAAAAGTCTATTATCTGGCAGTTGACTTCTGACTTCATACTACCATGACCCCACTGCATGTCATTTTCGACCCCTTCCACCGTACTCACCTTGCCTTTTCTCTGACTTTGTGTCTGTCTGTCTGTCTGTCTATTTTACATCTGTGAATCGCTCTTCTGTTCCCCTGTAGAATTTTTCTACCTTTAATGTTTCTCCCTTCTGTGAAGCCTGAAGTCAGCTAAAGGGCTAATGATAACTTTCAAAACGCCTGCCATTTGAAATAAATAAATAAATTTTGTTTCCATAAAGCCTGCCATTTGATATAAATAAATGTACTGCTATCCATTTGAAATAAATAAATTTCGCGGTAAATCAAATAGGAGCATGGAATAACAAAAACGTTGTACGTTTTCGCCGCCTTACATTACCGTTTTACAACATAAGGAGCAATTTCAACAAAAAACTCAGACAATTGCACAAAAATGCGATCCCACCCTGATAAGTTTCAATAGCGTAGTGCAGGTGACAAAATAAGGAATAAATCTCTCTAAAATTTCAAGGTTATACTTTGCTGTCGGTTCACCTACCGGTCTAATCTAGTAATCTGATGATCTAATGGAAAAATAGTTTATATACATATATCACATTTCCGGAAACCCTGTGAAATGAAGAAAGTATTAAGAATTTTCTGAAATCTAACTCAACAGTAGGCGTAATATTAATTGCTTATCATGGTTCACTTCAAACGTCTCCACCCCTCCCCCTGTCTAGTTCTCAAGACCTTTTGACTTCTTTAGTAATGATATGTACTGTTATCAGACAATAAGAGTGGGGCCACATCAATCTTTTCAAGCGATTCAGAGGTTGAATTTCAAGTTGAGGATCACGCAAAGCCAAAAAGGGAGGGGGGGGGTGGGGAGGGAAGGGTGGGCTTGATGTATCTGACTTCACTTGAATAAACTTCATTTCGATCAATGCGTCGGTGAATCAAGCCGATTATTAACAACAAAAGAGTATTTTCGATTGCATTTGTGTCTTCCTTTGTTTCTAGTCCAACTGTGAATTTTATACATTCCAGTTCAATTTCTATCCAAAATTAAAAAAGTTAAAAGTGTCTAAGAAGTAGACTAAATGCAATTAAGCCCACGGAGTGGATTGGTAGATAATAACATACTTAATTGACCTCTTCTCCAGGTCAACGTACCTTTAAACAAAAGGATAATTCCACCAAAAGAAAGCACAATAAGGATAATGATGTCAAACTAAAGTATCAATTTTCAAAAGAAATGGCTCCATTTAGATCTGCCAATGGTCTCAGATCACCTGTTAATAATGTACTACAACTAATTTATAATTAAAAAGTAGATTGACGTATCTAATATGAGTGCAATGAAAATTTGACTCGCCTGATCTGAGTTTGAACTTTTTCTGATTCAAGGACATTTTGACTCACTTTCGCAGCATTAAAGAGACATGTTGAGCAATGAGACATTATGCCGACACTACAGTGGCAATTTGTTGGAAGGTATCCCCGCGCTAATTGATATATACTTTCTCAATTACCCACATTTCTCTGCATTCCATCTTTTTTTTGGAAATTTCGTTTGCTAGTATTAGCTGTAGGCAATAATCATAGTTTGCACGATTTGGTCCTGTTTTATTAATTCCTTTAATTTGTTGCCACAATTCAACCAATGCATTAACATATAATGGAAAACTTGAATCGGATGAGTACAGCTCAATAAGAGGAATGGGAGAAGATTGTAGGGAGAACCTCAAATGGGTTAAATTATTTAATTATCGAGAGGGGATTTTAGAATAGTCACTTATTAAGTACCCCACTGCATCACATTCCAAAATCCCAATGTTATAATCTGTTCTCAGGATTATCGATTGAGTTCTTATCCACAGTTTTCAAGCTGCATGATCTTAACGTAACGGAGTTTATAGCGAGATTAAAAGATTTCAACTTAACCCATTAACACTCGAATAATTTTTTTTGAAAAATAGACCCAACCACATTCACGTGTGTCACACGGCGGACTGATACCGCCGATGTGATTAGTTTTGGTGGTGCTACAAGCGAAGACTATTGACATATTTAACGCTTTTCAAATGCCAATAGGGCCATCTGTTACGATTCTAGTACCAATGGAGTTGACTTTGAAAGATGACCGCACGATCCTAAGGACATTAAAAGGGTTAAGCTAACTCTACTGCGTGAATTGAAAATCTCAACTCTTTCTTGCAAATTCATTTCAATAATAAATACATTAATATTAGCCTAAGAGAATATTTACAACCCTAATTAGTCATCTTTATGAAAATGAATGTCATTAAATTCTGCCTGCATTAAAGCCATTACGATTTACGTAACTCATCTTTATTAAAAGTGGAGTCACGATAAATTTACTTAAAAAGATCTCTTTTAGGTATATGCATGTATCTGAAACACAAGGGGAACAAATCAGGGCAAATTTTAAGTTATCGGTCCACAATGGCGCATCGGAACAATCTGTTCGACCGCAAGGATGATGGTGAATTAGCAAAAAAGTCAATGCCCAAGTTGATACAAAAAATCGCCAAAAATTGTTAAGCACAACTTGCGGTACTTGCACCTGTTGCCTATTGGCTATCTTACCGTACTCCGTTACACCCAGGTCTCGCCAATCAAATTATAGCGACCTACACCTTTCTACTACTCAAAATTTTAATTTCCTTATTCATGCTAGCCTTTTGAATGCTATTAGACTTATGATCATTCGAGGTAGGGGGTGGGGGGGTGGGGGGGGGTGGGATATTTTGCTAATTTCGTGTGGCTCCCATGAGCAGATTCACTTTCAGGACTAAATTTGTCATAAATTTAGAACCGCAATCGACATAATTTAAGTTCAAAATAAAACCTCGTACTGTGAATATTAATTGCAAAAGGAATTGTTTTAATCAAATCTTTTGAATTTAAAACAAATAATAGGACCCTGGGGGGGGGAGTGAAGAAGATTTCATAAACACACCTAATCTAATCAGGTAATACTTAGATAATAGCGCTTCATTTCGACAATTTGCGAAAACTAATCTAAATTGCAAATTTAGAAGGTTTTTTTAAACAGATTTAACAACAAAAGTCTTTATAAATACCGCAAACTGGCGCACACAATACGCAATCAGTTAGCTGAAATACCAAATAATTGGCCTACGGCAATTTGGTCTGTGCAAAATCTCGATTCCTACACTTGCTATTTCTGGTACTCGAGTAAGGTATACAAGTGATTTAATAAGAAACAGGAAATAATAAAGCATTCTTACTAAGCATTCAGTTGCTTAGCATGCAAAAAATGCGAGCAACATTTCATTTCTCATGGATAATATCGAAAAAATTATGCAAAATGTATAACTTACTTTTATAGTGGTCAAGGAGATCTTTGAGATTATTGAAAGTCCTTTTAGGACTTATGTAGTAAGAGTTAGTGGTCCTGTTATACTTGATCATGAAGTGCTTGACTGTTCGTTTGGAACCGATCACACTGAGGACCGAGAGAGCAACCCGGAAGGGATCTGAGAAATATGTAGAAGTAAAAAGAGGGGATTAGAAGCGTTCCCATACTGAGAGGAAGTCTTCAGCCCACCAACAATGAGACCAACGGGGAGAATTTAGAGCTTTGGAAGGCACTCACTCATGCTCCTGCCAAGTGAGATTTGGTTCCGTCTTCCCACTCCAACCCCCCCCCCCCCCCCCCCCCCCCCCCACCCACCTCTCCTAAGTATTTGAGCACGAGAACCAAAATCCAGGACCAAAATGCCCCAAACCCTCCCCATCCCCCCCCCCTCACCTTGAAATGAAATCCTTCCTTTAAATGAAGAGTAACAATGAAGGCGATATTATTACGGCTAGAAAGTTGAAAAAATGGCTTTCATCGTCTAACCCCAAAAGATACTGCTTTCAGGGACATGTAGAGAGCTTGGTAGACCCTGTTAACCACATCATCTTCATATGGTAAATTAGAGAATTATGATACACATAAATTCTAGCAATTTCAAGAGTTATTATAACTCAATGGTAAATAAATAATGCAGGGATTTAGATCAGTGCATTGGATCCGATATGCATGCCTGAGCACGTGCGATGCAAATGAGTGATTACGTTTTAAGTGGAAGTTCAGAGTGCTAGACTGATAATGTTCAGAAACATAATGCAGAAACATCCATGGTCGTGATTGGTCAATGAGTGAGTGTTATTCTGAAATTTGGCAGAATAAAGATTTAAAGCACTCAGAAATGGGGGGGATTTTAACTCATTGGCATGTGCTAAATTGTCCGTAGCGTGGTTCGTTGTGAGGCAATGAAGTGTAATGTTTTGTGATCCCATAAAAAAAGGTTTCAAAATTGCATGCATCATAAACAGGGGACGGAAGCTCTCCTGATAGAGAGGTCAGAGAAGAGAATAACTAAGGGATGAGCCTGTGAATTACATGTGAAAGTCGTATTGTGAAACGGTCCTCGTGAAAATGTCGAGTCATTGTGAATTGTCATCTCACACGGCAATCTGTCACACATACACAAGTACTACTACCACCTTTCGAAATGCAATGATGCATGACAAATTGTGAGGCCACAGGTTTCGCCTGAGAATATACCTATTTTAATATGTATTTTCGTCGCCACCCTGTTATCATTATCATTTCATACAAACACCCACACACACACACACACACACACGTGAGGAGTGTATTTTTGTATATGTGTGAGTTTTGAATATCGAAAGTAATCTCAAGACATGACACAGATGAAAGAGCACTTAAGAAAAACAATTTGGAGCAAATATTCACTTAGATGCCAAGTAGAATCAAAATTTAAAAGAGTGACAATAAATGAGTAAAGTTTAAATAAAATGGTTGAGCCACTGACCATAGATTAAGAACAGTGCCGATTTGGAGAACTTTGGAAAGACCGCACAAATAACTACTTCAGGAAAAGACATGCTTGCTTGTTGGAGCAGGGGATAAAGGAAAAGATGCAGGAGTAAGCCTTGACTTCCACAAGCTAAATATTCCTTCTCCGAAATTCAAACGCAAAAGTTGGGTAATTTTGGGGAAGGCTAAGAACAAAACCATGCACTGTTCCTGGCGGTCCTTTTGATCAGCATTCAACATATAGTGGTTGCTCAAATTTTTCTTATAAGCTAAGTAAACTAACTACTGGAACTTATGACTTGAATATTAACAGCGATTAAACTGCAACAAGCTCATTAATAAAACAGTGGGTCAACTGCCCACTTTTAGTAAATACAATTCTTCCCAAATTTCCCGAAGGTTAAGAGAATTAAACTGCTATTGAGGATTTGGGATAACAATCTCTAACAAAGAGGCGTAATTTATGAAAGCTAATTCATACTTATACGATATATGGGTGCGCGATAGACTTATCTCCACGTGATGCACCCTGGGCAACGTATGCTCATGCGGCAAAAAAGTCTATTAACTGGCAGTTGACTTCGGCCCTCAAACTACCAGGACCCCATTGTATGTCATATTCAACCGCTTTCACAGTGCTCACCTCACCTCTTTTCTACCTTTGTGTCTGTCTCTGTTACACCTTTGAAATTCTTCTGTTCCTCCCCCCCCCCCTCCTCTCTCGACTTTTTTTCACGTTGACGTTCCTTCCCCTCTGTGAAGCCTAGAGTCAACTAAAGGGCTAGTGATAACTATCAAAACGCCTGCCATTTGATATAAATAAATATTCTTAATATGCATGTTGTATTTTATCCCCTATGCACGATTCAAAGTACTTCTTTTGCTCTGTACTGACTACTACTAGAGTAAAAGAGGTCTACATCTGAATTTCCTCAATGAGGCCATTTCTCCGCTCGTCTGAATACGAACTTCAACTCCACTGAAGCTGGAAGATAAGGGACCTTAAGACAGGCGTCTATCGACTTCAAGTCCTCAATTAGGTAAAGTAGACGTTCAAGTAAGAAATGCTATTTGTCAACACCAAAAATTAAATAAGCAGACAATAACTAATAAATCGAAGAAACCTTCCTAATTATTCCTTGATTAGAATGCTTAATGCGTCAGAGATCAACGTTCATAATGCATCCACAAGACGATAGTGTTTGGAAATAACGAATAAAGTAATGTGTTTCAAAGCAAATGTTGGATGAATCATTCTACGTGATCAAACTGGCATCTGTTCAACAGTGAAGGCTTTGTTCCCTTTTTTCTCAATTAGAACAAATGAGTTCCTTGAAGTACATGAGATAGAGGTACTTGATAAAAAAACCTGAGTTTACTTTAAAGCGATTTTTATTTTCTTAGATTTATTTCCCTTTAAGAGGAAAGAATGTGGGATTAAAAATTTCCTTCAACAATATGCAAATTCCAAGGTTTCTGCGGATGGATACTGAAAGAATAACGTGCCTCATCCACAGGAAGGAATATTTATTTATTTATTTCAAATATTAGGCTCATTAGTAGGAAGAAATAAACAAACTCCATTACACAGTCAAAAATCGTATTAAACGTAATAAAGATAATCAAAAAGAACGAACGTGGATTATTAAGAAAATTTTAAAGTGTGATTTACTTCGCATTTTTTCATGATTCCTGGAGCATTATCAGACGTCATCAATAATGGCATATTTTCACACCTCTTATATAATTGGCTTTAAAATTTCTGAAAGCTAAAATTATACCTCTCAAAGACTTTGAGTGCCTGTTACGGAGACCCTAACACAAACCAATAGACCGCACATCATGACAACGACAAATTAGGCAGAACTTGATATTAGTACTGCAGAAAAAAGACTTCAACGCCTTTAAATCATAAATAAGGTAGTAAAGCGAACTAATAACAAAACAATTACAAAGATAATAGCTTTTAAAGGAGTGTTATCGATAACAATAGAACTTCACTCAATGATAGGTAATCCAATTAGCATTAATATAGAAAGGGCATCTCAACTGCTATTAACTAATATTTCCGAAAATGAACTTATTATCGAGCCAACCAATGAAGCACTAAATCTTAGGTAAACAGTGATCATCAAGTAGAACTAATCAAATGAGGAAAATAGTGCACTTACTAGAACTTGGGCGCAGTAGATAAGTTCCACTAGGATGATCTGCCATTAGTAGTTTATACTCGCTGTTTCTTCGATCAACATCAAACCAAGCATCCAAGACATCATCAATGCCAGTTTCTTCAGTAATGAAATTCCTGGGCAAGTAGCCGAGTTTATTTGTTCTGTCATTGCACACTTCCAACCACAAATCCGATCGATTGATAGATTCAATTGTGAGATGATCACCCTGCTCGACATCGAGTTCCCCTGATTTTTCATCTCCAGAAAGGGAATATAATGCCATTGCTTGTCGTTCACGAGGATCACCGCATAATTGTAGCCAGGGGCTAATTTTGGTCTGAGTAATGTGTTCCTTTTTCTCCCGGTCCATCTTTTCTTCTCGCCTTTTTCGTCTTTCCCATCGGCGAGCAGGCTTAGGGGCAACATAACCGTTCTCATTTGCTTTATCGGCGCTCTTCTTTCGCTTAAGCTTTCGAAAAATATGGCTCATTGTTTCAAGAACCATAATCTAAAAAACCTACACAAGGAAATATACCATATAAGAAAAGGTAGATATTATGATTTTGAATTATTTGAGTTGATAAATACTAGTCAATGAATGCATTTAAAAAAATTTTATAAACTTCAAAATTATGAAACTTGAGTTTGAAAGTGTATTTACTTATAAACGATATTTTAGTAATTAGTTATTACCTGTCTAAGGTAAATATGATTTAAAACTGAATTACCGGTGAAACATTCATAAAGTCGCTTCATAAGTTGAAAGTTTTGTTGAATGCGCTAAACAACAACAAGGTGTCAGAATTTTGTGGAATCACTTCCTAATAAATACATATAAATTTAAAAATATAGTGAAATAATTTTTAATTAAACAACATGGAATAAATTTGGTCGAAAAAATTTTATTTTTACCGAATGTAAATTTAATATATTCTGAAAATATTATTATCAAAACACTTAAAGATATGCAAAAATGCAATCATTATAAAGCAAACTATGCGAGAACATTTGAGCTTTTACATAACTGAATCGCTGTTCTATCGGTATTTTTTCTTTTATGTAAAAATTTTACTCCATTTGTGCCCAAAGATTACCGTTAATACACACCTGTTAATTGCAAATTGAATCAGGCTATGAAGGATAATATTTTATCGTTTGTAAGCAACTAAGCATTTCAAATCAATTACCATCAAAATTCTGTGGGTAAGTTAGAAAGTTATTTTATGATCCAATGAGGATTCATAATGTTTTTCATTCTACCAACATTATCTCTGTCACAGAACTTAGTTTCGTATAGGAATCGATTTTCTTTTTATTATATATTATTAAAGAACAATTTAAATATCTATATTTTTCCACCTAATCTCAACAACTTAATAATATTTCGTTACCTGGCTATCTTCAATCTTGCTTATACACGGATAAATTTTCTTGTTCTTGGTGGATTTCATTTGTTTTCGATATCAACCTCAATTGTGGAAAAAGAATCAATGAATCCTTTATATGTAAAAATGATTATTTTCTATTTATATTTCATATATTAAAGCACTCTTCAAGCATTGTCATTGCTTTCGGATGATCATTTACTGGCTTCTCCATATTTATTGCAAAAACCCAAATCGCAAACGCATCCATGGTTTTATTAATTAAATGTCCTTTTTTTCGAAAAACTTGTGGCGGTTGAACATCATTCTTTGTAGATGGGAATTCATTATTTGAGCAAAGTGCAAAATAGCATATCGCTGATAGTTCCTGCATGTTTGATGAATATAATTTCCATGAAGTGCAACGAAGTATTTTTCCTCCGTAATCAAATTTCAGTGTTGACTAAATTTACCTAGTCATCTTTTAAAACTGGTTATTAACCCTATGGAGAATAAATGGCATTATCTTAGTATTTATTATTAAGTGTTAATTGTTCTTTAGCGGATTGCTGCACTAGTAAACTCTGACCGACTCAGAAATCTCTGTGGCAGATTCTCCAACATCTAGCTAAACTTCCGAAACTAGCTAAGCTATAGCCCAGCTATAAAGGAAACAGACGTGTAGCACGGAGCACGTTTATTCAGTACGGGTAGTGCGGATAAAGTGTACACGCAGGGAGCTACTCATGATCAGGATGGGGGATTAGGTTAAACAGAGGTTAATGATTGGTCACTGTTTGTACGGTTGCTGCACACAGAGTTGTACGGCGCACCTCCCAATCTTGGAGAGCAGACATGCAGGCATACGATGACGCACACAGCAAAACGTGTCCCACAGTCACATTACTATCTCTAAAACTCACCAATAATATTTAAAAC